AAAATTAATTTATAATAATAGTAATTACTATTGAAATTCATCAAAATAATTATTGTATTAAACATTACTTTTTAATTGCTTGCATGTATAATGCTTTAGCTGAATAAGGTGTAGGACTATGAGCTACACACTGTTCTGCAAGAATGTTCCGTAATTCCTTCATGGGTGTATCATCTCTCCTTACTCTATGATCATGTCGCTTCTTGATGAAAAAAGCATTGTCATTCAAATTTATCGATATCGATCCTGTATCCGGACATCCACTCTTATATTCCTTGCATCTCATATAACTGTGAACAACACAATTAAATAAGACTTAAATTTCTTCACACAATTGTATTACCTAAGTATTCCAGTTGCTTCACTTTTAAAGTACATATATCCAAAATTGTCCTTGATTTAATGTTCCTTGAGAACATTCAACATAGCTTATGTTTATTGTCTTCAATGAAGGCCTTGTACTTTGTAGTAAGTTTTTGTGTGAAGTGCACCATGGCTGATGATGAAAAATTAAGTATATTTAAAATTACTTTATTAAAAAGATATTAAAATTAGAGATATTTTATTCGGTAACGTTGGTATACACGTAGAAGGTTAGCGTTAAAAATGTCTTATCATTTTTTGAACAACTATGGGGTTTCGGTCTTTTGTGCTTAATATCACGAATTAAAATATACTGGATACCATATTGAACCACAGAACAAATGATAGATGTACCAAAAAACTGGTTTCATAGTAATGAAATAGCTCCAATTGATATTGCTTTCCACACTTTGAGTACTGTCAAAAGCAATTATTCTAGATATATTGAAAAGCAACTTATCATTAAAAATGGTATATTACTATTTATTATATCAGTATTATAAAAGAACGGTATTAAATAATTAATAATACTTAAATGTAATATTTTTTAGATTCTAAAATAATTTTACCTATAAATAATAAAATTGTAACACCCCATGAAATTGGGTTAAAAAACAGTTAACAAAAAAACCTAATAGAATTTCAGTCACTTTTTAATGAATTTGATAAAATTAAATGCTGTAAAGGAGCTTTTTCTTCTACTGAAAATAAGGATATAAGGGCTTCATATAGTCCTCAA